TCTCTCGCGAGCGCTACAACTACCGCGAGGCTTTGTTTCTTCAGAGACGGCATAGATAGAAAGAGAGATGCGGAGAAAGGTAAAAATGGCCCGGGTTACGCAAGTCTTTGCAAGTCAATTGGCGCAAGTCCAAGTGAAAGTCAGAGTCATTGATTTTAAAGTCCAAGTCGAGTTGCAAGTCTTTTTATATTTGGTCAAGTCGAGTCTAAAGTCATCAAAATCATGACTCGAGTCCAAGTCACATGACTCGAGTCCAAGTCACATGACTCGAGTCCAAGTCACATGACTCGAGTCCAAGTCACATGACTCGAGTCCACACCTCTGGATCATAGACACACGTTCACTGTGTCATCCATCCAACTTCAGCTCAGCCCTACAGACATGTCATACCTCGTTCTAAAGCAGACGCCGCACATTTTCATCACAAGTTTGGAATTGTTGAAAGGTTAATAAGAGTAGAAGAAAAATGCCCTAAATTAGGGTCCAAAATGTTAAAACTTGTCAAGTTATGAGAAGTCGTCAAAATTCAGCTCAAAAATAAAATGTATTTGGGGCATTTTATAAACTGCGGTCGGTCACGGCTTTAGTCTCATTTTCAGCGAAGACAATAAACAAGTCTTCTGTTGGTAATTCTAGATTTAAGACCATCTTCTCTCATCAATTTAGCCGATTCTAACTTTTTTGTTGTGTTATACACAATTTCATTTTTATATTTACTCAAATGTATTCTTTGGGGAGCTACTCTGAAGAGGGTGGAGAGCTACTGGTAGCTCCTGAGCGATGGGTTGGAGACCCCTGAGGTAGAGAATGCTCGCTTTGGAGATTCACGCATTATTCATCCATCTATTTTCTTTCACTTAATCCTAGTTTGAAACAGAGCGCTTGTTAAGAAGGGGCGGGGGGACATTTATGCTCCATGTTTGTGCTCAAAGTTCCAGATATTAGCTTAGATTGCTCTAAAAACATCCAGATCTGTGTTTGATTCTGGACCAAACTGTGTCCTTTAAGTTACTTTAAGTTTTAAGTACTCAGTGTTGTGTAAATATTCATTTAAAATAAGTTCCTTTCACAAAACTACGACTCGTTTATCGCCGTGACGACGGCCGTGGTCCTCTGTTGTCGTTAGCGCCGGATCGAACATGGCAGATGTTTCTAAATTACTCTCTGAACATCTGGCAACCCCAGGTCTGAACAAGGCGCTGGAGCGTCCACCTTTGGTCCCAGGTGTTCATGAACCAAATGACCTGATTATGGCTCACACGCTAACTGGCAACACACGCTATCTACAACACGCTAACTGCCAAGCACATGCTAACTATAACACGCTAACTGCCAAGCACATGCTAACTGGCAAACACACACGCTAAGTTCTGCTTGGTTTTTATATTTGATATTGTCTTTGTAAATCCAGATATTAGCCTTGAAAGACTTGACCAATCAGATGGCTTCATTTGCAGGGGGACTCTAGCTAGTCTTAGCACAACGTCCTAGCAACATGTCTGCCCCTGGTACGGCACGAAGCTAGCGCCACAGAAACTAACGCCGTGGAAGCTTGCTCCGGTGAAGCTAGCGCTGCATAAGAAATGCCCTTATAAAGAAATTCTAAAAATGTGGGAATAAATCACAAAAGTAGTTTCCAAAACCATTGAATTTTCCGACACAGATCAGAATCTAACGGTTCAAGAAAAGCAACGATAAAAACAGACATTGGTCCAAAAAGAGCTGAGGCTAATGTTGAGTGTCCTTAGACTCTGAAAACCCAGTGGCTGGCTGTAGACCCAGTGGCTGAGGCTGTAGACCCAGTGGCTGAGGCTGTAGACCCAGGACTGAGGCTGTAGACCCAGGACTGAGGCTGTAGACCCAGTGGCTGAGGCTGTAGACCCAGGACTGAGGCTGTAGACCCAGTGGCTGAGGCTGTAGACCCAGTGGCTGAGGCTGTAGACCCAGGACTGAGGCTGTAGACCCAGTGGCTGAGGCTGTAGACCCAGTGGCTGAGGCTGTAGACCCAGGACTGAGGCTGTAGACCCAGTGGCTGAGGCTGTAGACCCAGTGGCTGAGGCTGTAGACCCAGGACTGAGGCTGTAGACCCATTGGCTCTAGATTAGTTTCAAACCGGTTTCTTCTGCCTTAAAGACCTTATGACGGGTTTGATTTATTTAGAAATACAGTTTTAATACCATTTTATATTAGAGGAGAACTACTAAAGGTTTCAAAATCATTTGTTGTTTTTTTTTTCTGATCCCCCCAAATCGAAATAACCCCATAGCAACGCCCTTAGAAACGAAAAAACTTCACAGCCCTTGGTGACGTCAGAGTGGGTACGTTTCAACGCTGTAAGTTGTTTACAATTTGGTATTCGTTCTTTTTTCGCGGATATTCAAGATGACAAGGCCGTGTACAGCGAGTCTAAGAAAACTACTAGAAAGTAGCATTTCGTTGTCACTGAGATAGTCCAGTGGTTGTGTCGATGCACTGCCAATCCAGATACTTGGGTTCAAATCCTACCTCAGACACATTTTCACTCTCAAAACGACAATTTATGTGTAGTGAGCAATTGTCACCTGTAGAGGGCAGTATTGTGTTGGGCATCAGTGGAGAGAAGAGAGAAAAGGCAGTCCTGTGGCATAGATCCATGGTTTTCAATGCATGGGCGTAACCCGCTGTGACGTCACACACAGGTTAGAGCATAGACAACTTACATTCATGAAAAACACATTCTTTTTATAAAATATAGGATTTTTTTTGCCGGAATCTTTCAAATTGACATTGTCATACAATTTTGATATCCACAACTTTTTTTTTTTTTTTAAAACCCGTCATAAGGTCTTTAAGACTAAGACCGTGGTGATGTCACACTTGGTCCATAGTCCACACTTTGAGTCCAGACCGTTGCAGACTTGTAGCTGATTGTCGGGAAAGAATGAAGCCGTTATTTTTGGCATCAACTCGAGCAAAACCAATTACAATCAAGACCAACGAATCACAGCAACTTAAAGAACTACCACCAGGACTGAGGCTGTAGACCCAGGACTGAGGCTGTAGACCCAGGACTGAGGCTGTAGACCCAGGACTGAGGCTGTGTAGACCCAGGACTGAGGCTGTGTAGACCCAGGACTGAAGCTGTGTAGACCCAGGACTGAGGCTGTAGACCCAGGACTGAGGCTGTGTAGACCCAGGACTGAGGCTGTGTAGACCCAGGACTGAAGCTGTGTAGACCCAGGACTGAGGCTGTAGACCCAGGACTGAGGCTGTAGACCCAGGACTGAGGCTGTGTAGACCCAGGACTGAGGCTGTGTAGACCCAGGACTGAGGCTGTGTAGACCCAGGACTGAGGCTGTGTAGACCCAGGACTGAGGCTGTGTAGACCCAGGACTGAGGCTGTCTAGACCCAGGACTGAGGCTGTAGACCCAGGACTGAGGCTGTGTAGACCCAGGACTGAGGCTGTCTAGACCCAGGACTGAGGCTGTCTAGACCCAGGACTGAGGCTGTCTAGACCCAGGACTGAGGCTGTCTAGACCCAGGACTGAGGCTGTCTAGACCCAGGACTGAGGCTGTCTAGACCCAGGACTGAGGCTGTCTAGACCCAGGACTGAGGCTGTCTAGACCCAGGACTGAGGCTGTCTAGACCCAGGACTGAGGCTGTCTAGACCCAGGACCGAGGCTGTCTAGACCCAGGACCGAGGCTGTCTAGACCCAGGACCGAGGCTGTCTAGACCCAGGACCGAGGCTGTGTAGACCCAGGACCGAGGCTGTGTAGACCCAGGACCGAGGCTGTGTAGACCCAGGACCGAGGCTGTGTAGACCCAGGACCGAGGCTGTGTAGACCCAGGACCGAGGCTGTGTAGACCCAGGACCGAGGCTGTGTAGACCCAGGACTGAAATGAACAATAACTCTTTACTAAATAAGATAAAATCCCCGGCCTTTGCATGATAAAGAATCCAGAATGAAGTATAAATCTCTGACTTTAGAATCCACGCCGCTGTATTCAGATGTAAATCCATGATGGCGTGGTGTAATTGAAGGCGGACTGATCAAAGCCAGATGTGCCTCTCTCGGCACACTCCTCCTGTTTACCACACTGGTCACGCTGCTTCGCCCCGACCGAGCGAGCGAGTTAATTGGCGAACGTAACGACCTCGAGGACTGCGGGACTTTCACTGAGGGCCTCTCGTTGTGGATCAGAACGAGCAGGACCAGCGCCAAACCCACCTCTGCTGTCGTCACGGCGATTACTGAAGTGTGACATGTTCCCTGTAATTCGCCGACACAGATCAAACGGATCAAGAAATGCATTGATTAAAACACACAGAGCCATCGGTCCATGAGGAGCAGAGTCCTTAGACCACAGTCAAACTCAGGCCCGTGGGCCAAATCCGGCCACGAGACCATTTTTAGTGGCCCCTGAAAAGATCTGCAATTCTCACTATTCACAGTAACTTGCAGCATGGGAGACTATGGCATGTTCTACTTCATTTTAAAGTCTATTGTCTCAGGAAAACAGAATTAAAATTGTTATAAAATAAAAGTTTAGTTAAAATTGATATTTTAGTTAGTTGAATCCAAACCTACTAAAACCAAACAAGAAAAAAATATGTATATACAGTATAATAATGATAATAAAAATAATAATAGATCATGATATATATAATGATAGACCCTCCTGCGTCTGCAAGTAATTGGGCTCTTCTGGGTTTTGCTGTTTTGGAAGAACGTGTGTTTGAATCGGTCCAACTCATGCTTAAGAGTCACTTCTTCCTCTTGGTTATTCAGCAAACCCACAACTGTGTCAGCCAATCAGCTCTCAGCTCACAGACGATAGGAGCCAAAGAGGGTTAGCATTGAGCTAGCAGGTTAGCATTGTCCATCTCTGTACAGTCTCTGGTCTGGAAGTGGAGTTGGACCGGGGGCCTTCTTGTTGTGAAGCGCTAACCACTGAAATCTGCCCAAATGTTTAAATAAGAAAAGTTAAAGCTTAGTCTACGTTTCGAGACTCATACCATGGTCCTGACTATGTGGGAAAAACCAGCTGGGCCTGCGAGAGTTCCAGGTCAGATCTGTGGAGAGGCCGCCGCTCAGTGGTGCCTTCAGTGACCCTCGTAAATCTCTCGACAACAGACGGAGACTGAGCCGCTTTATATAACGCATTATTATCATCAGATTAGCATGTAGCTACTGTACCAGAGAGAGACCAGAGAGAGACCAGAGAGAGAGAGACCAGAGAGAGAGAGACCAGAGAGAGAGAGACCAGAGAGAGAGAGACCAGAGAGAGAGAGACCAGAGAGAGAGAGACCAGAGAGAGAGAGACCAGAGAGAGAGAGACCAGAGAGAGAGAGACCAGAGAGAGAGAGACCAGAGAGAGAGAGACCAGAGAGAGAGAGACCAGAGAGAGAGAGACCAGAGAGAGAGAGACCAGAGAGAGAGAGACCAGAGAGAGAGACCAGAGAGAGAGAGACCAGAGAGAGAGAGACCAGAGAGAGAGAGACCAGAGAGAGAGAGACCAGAGAGAGAGAGACCAGAGAGAGAGAGAGACCAGAGAGAGAGAGACCAGAGAGAGAGAGACCAGAGAGAGAGTGACTCTGAAGGACTTTGAGGATGAGAATTGTGTGGATAAAGTCGTTCAGTTTCTGTAATTAGCGCTGAGCTAACGTCCACAGCCTCTTACGCTAAACTGTGGCTTGATTAGCTTCTGATTTAAAACGGGAAAGTAGGACGCCATTTCTCACCACCGACTTCAGCACAATTACAATCAAAGCAGCGCTCGCCGAATCATCACGTGCAAAACCTGCTCTTTTTACACTTTCATTTCTTTAGAACGAGTCTGAAACGTTTCTGCAACAGAGTTTTAAATGAACTGCGACTTCAGGACCACTGCTGTAGAGACCGAGCGAGTCGTCGGGCAGATTAGCCCATCCCAGATCTGTAAAAACCATGAAATATGGGCCCGATCCAGACCTCGAGATCAGATTGGGACTTCCCTGTTTTATTATAATCTCTAGCTTTAGCAAAGTAATTTATATCGTTTATTTCTATGTCCCTATTCTTGTGTTTTTTAGAAGGAAGTTTTGTCTTTAACTCCCAGACCTGGCAACAGACTTTTATTTGACAGTTGTAAGCCCCTTTTTAAGGTGCTGGTCCTGGACGGGTTCTAGACTGAACTAGAACCAGCTCAGACCCAGTCAAGGACCAGTCTAAACCATAGACTGTATATATTAACGGACAGAGTCACGCCTATCTCTGCCGTTCTAACTAATGGGCCAATTAATGTGCTCTACTGGAGCTATCCAAAATGGCCGCGAGTGGTCCCGCCCACAAGAAAATTGTGAAAAAACACGTCAGCCGGCGCAGCTCCATTCATTTGAACGAGAGACTTCTAAAGTCCACAGCGACTAAACTAGACTGGTCCAGAACACTCAGCTTTGACACACATGTGGAACGGAGCTTTGGGCCAAGAGACAACTTTTGGTCCATCCTGTAAAGACGTTTTTGAGAGGTCTGCTAATGCTATATGTTAGCATTGGCTAATTCTTCTTCTGGGTCCACCCCCACAGGCCCGGGGTGGTATTGCAGCATGTCAGCGTACGTCATTTTGGACACTTTTGAGCTGGGACCCTCCCCCACTGGTCTAGAACCAGAGTCTTCCACTAGAGAAGTTTTTGTTTTTGTGAAGCAGTTAGCATTAGCCTTTCAACAAACGTTTGCTGTATCTTAAGTTATATTCAGCAGTTTTAGCACTAAAACAAATGAAAAACAAAATTCTTTCTCAGAATTCCATGGGTTTGAATAAGAACAGTCAAAATGACACCTTTCTAGAAGTTTCAGAATTATGGGAGTCCTAGTGTTAAAGAAAGTTACTTTAAAAAAAAAAAAAAAAAAGTCATTCTTAAAAACTATATTTTCAAGTTCTAAATATATGGATAAACCTTCACGATTTTGGCGAGCAGAAGGTAAATATGTTCTCTGTAAACGCTCTCCGGTCTCTGCAGAGTCCTCAGGCTTCAAGCTGTCGAACATAACAGACATGTACCTTACTACCCCCCCCCCCCCCCCCCTGTACCTCAGCCCCCCCCCCACCTGTACCTCAGCCCCCCGCCTGTACCTCAGCCCCCCACCTGTACCTCAGCCCCCCGCCTGTACCTCAACCCCCCGCCTGTACCTCAGCCCCCCACCTGTACCTCAGCCCCCCACCTGTACCTCAGCCCCCCGCCTGTACCTCAACCCCCCGCCTGTACCTCAGCCCCCCACCTGTACCTCAACCCCCCGCCTGTACCTCAGCCCCCCACCTGTACCTCAGCCCCCCACCTGTACCTCAACCCCCCGCCTGTACCTCAGCCCCCCACCTGTACCTCAGCCCCCCGCCTGTACCTCAGCCCCCCGCCTGTACCTCAGCCCCCCGCCTGTACCTCAGCCCCCCGCCTGTACCTCAGCCCCCCACCTGTACCTCAGCCCCCCGCCTGTACCTCAGCCCCCCGCCTGTACCTCAGCCCCCCGCCTGTACCTCAGCCCCCCGCCTGTACCTCAGCCCCCCGCCTGTACCTCAGCCCCCCGCCTGGCCTCCGTCTGCCTTACCCACCCCCCCCACCCACCAGCACCGCAGGCCCGTCCGCTCTGACCTCCCTCTGCCGCCTGCGTCCTCTGCGGCACCTGGAGGTATTTTTAACCCCCGCGTGGCTCGGCTCGGCTCGGTCTCCACACACTTTGACACAGATGGCCGCGGTGTTTAAATATTGATTGCGGCTGCGGAATGATGAAGAAGAAGAAGAAGAAGAGGGAGGGGGCCGGGTTCACCGAGGGGATTGGAGAGCGGGAGGTCGGCGAGTACAAAGAGGTCAAACGGGTCGAGATGTACAGTACAGGAAGTAGTTTTTATTGGACGGTTTGATGCTAGTAGCACGTGTGAAAACTGCGCTAGCTAACCATGGAGCCCCTTTAACCCCGTAGCACCCTCAGTAACAGTGGTATGTACCCAGGAACACAAATAAGCTAATATGCTACATAGCCATATTTGGTCATGGGATTCTGCTTAGCAAAATTAGCATTTCTTTCAACTAATATTTTATGTCTGCGTTCTAAAAAAATGAGATTATCTTTGGTTTTGGCCGTTAAAACGTAAAACTGAGATTTTTAAGTTATTCCATGTTTTAGAAAGTGAGATTACATCATCGGCAGAAATATATGAACACTTTGAACACACACTGTCTGTCTCTCTGTCTCTATCTCCCTCTCTGTCTGTCTCTCTCTCTCTGTGAGTCTGTCTCTCTCTCTCTGTGAGTCTGTCTCTCTCTCTGTGAGTCTGTCTCTCTCTCTGTGAGTCTGTCTCTCTCTCTCTGTGAGTCTGTCTCTCTCTCTGTGAGTCTGTCTCTCTCTCTCTGAGTCTGTCTCTCTCTCTCTGTGAGTCTGTCTCTCTCCGGTCTCTGTCTCTCTATGTGTCTCTCTCTCTGGTCTTTCTCTGTGTCTGTTTCTCTGTCTCTCTCTCTCTGTATCTCTCTGTCTCTCTCTCTGTGTATGTCTCTCTCTCTGTCTCTCTGTGTCTGTCTCGCTCTCTGTCTCTCTCTCTGTGTCTGTCTCGCTCTCTCTCTCTGTGTCTGTCTCGCTCTCTCTCTCTGTGTCTGTCTCTCTCTGTGTCTGTCTCTCTCTCTGTCTCTCTGTGTCTGTCTCGCTCTCTGTCTCTCTCTCTGTGTCTGTCTCGCTCTCTCTCTCTGTGTCTGTCTCGCTCTCTCTCTCTGTGTCTGTCTCGCTCTCTTTCTCTGTGTCTGTCTCTCTCTGTGTCTGTCTCGCTCTCTGTCTCTCTCTCTGTGTCTGTCTCGCTCTCTGTCTCTCTCTCTGTGTCTGTCTCGCTCTCTGTCTCTCTCTCTGTGTCTGTCTCGCTCTCTGTCTCTCTCTCTGTGTCTGTCTCGCTCTCTCTCTCTGTGTCTGTCTCGCTCTCTCTCTCTGTGTCTGTCTCGCTCTCTCTCTCTGTGTCTGTCTCGCTCTCTCTGTGTCTGTCTCGCTCTCTCTCTCTGTGTCTGTCTCGCTCTCTCTCTCTGTGTCTGTCTCGCTCTCTCTCTCTGTGTCTGTCTCGCTCTCTCTCTCTGTGTATGTCTCTCTCTCTGTCTCTCTGTGTCTGTCTCGCTCTCTGTCTCTCTCTCTGTGTCTGTCTCGCTCTCTCTCTCTGTGTCTGTCTCGCTCTCTCTCTCTGTGTCTGTCTCGCTCTCTCTCTCTGTGTCTGTCTCGCTCTCTCTCTCTGTGTCTGTCTCGCTCTCTCTCTCTGTGTCTGTCTCGCTCTCTCTCTGTGTCTGTCTCGCTCTCTCTCTCTGTGTCTGTCTCGCTCTCTGTGTCTGTCTCGCTCTCTCTCTCTGTCTGTCTCTCTCTGTGTCTGTCTCTCTCTGTGTCTGTCTCGCTCTCTGTCTCTCTCTCTGTGTCTGTCTCGCTCTCTGTCTCTCTCTCTGTGTCTGTCTCGCTCTCTCTCTCTGTGTCTGTCTCGCTCTCTCTCTCTGTGTCTGTCTCGCTCTCTCTCTCTGTGTCTGTCTCGCTCTCTCTCTCTGTGTCTGTCTCGCTCTCTCTCTCTGTGTCTGTCTCGCTCTCTCTCTCTGTGTATGTCTCTCTCTCTGTCTCTCTGTGTCTGTCTCGCTCTCTGTCTCTCTCTCTGTGTCTGTCTCGCTCTCTCTCTCTGTGTCTGTCTCGCTCTCTCTCTCTGTGTCTGTCTCGCTCTCTCTCTCTGTGTCTGTCTCGCTCTCTCTCTCTGTGTCTGTCTCGCTCTCTCTCTCTGTGTCTGTCTCGCTCTCTCTCTCTGTGTCTGTCTCGCTCTCTCTCTCTGTGTCTGTCTCGCTCTCTCTCTCTGTGTATGTCTCTCTCTCTGTCTCTCTGTGTCTGTCTCGCTCTCTCTCTCTGTGTCTGTCTCGCTCTCTCTCTCTGTGTCTGTCTCGCTCTCTCTCTCTGTGTCTGTCTCGCTCTCTCTCTCTGTGTCTGTCTCGCTCTCTCTCTCTGTGTCTGTCTCGCTCTCTCTCTCTGTGTCTGTCTCTCTCTGTGTCTGTCTCGCTCTCTGTCTCTCTCTCTGTCTGTCTCGCTCTCTCTCTCTGTGTCTGTCTCGCTCTCTCTCTCTGTGTCTGTCTCGCTCTCTCTCTCTGTGTCTGTCTCGCTCTCTCTCTCTGTCTCGCTCTCTCTCTCTGTGTATGTCTCTCTCTCTGTCTCTCTGTGTCTGTCTCGCTCTCTGTCTCTCTCTCTGTGTCTGTCTCGCTCTCTCTCTCTGTGTCTGTCTCGCTCTCTCTCTCTGTGTCTGTCTCGCTCTCTCTCTCTGTGTCTGTCTCGCTCTCTCTCTCTGTGTCTGTCTCGCTCTCTCTCTCTGTGTCTGTCTCGCTCTCTGTGGAAGAGGAGAAACCCCGGTCTGTAATAGTCTCTGAAGCGTCTGGATTGTGGCATAAATCCTTCTGTCGTAGACGCCAAAGTCACCGTGAGCCCCGTCCCGGCTGCATCCATATTCACACGTCTGTCTCCTACGTCTGTCTCCTACGTCTGTCTCCTACGTCGGTCTCCTACGTCGGTCTCCTACGTCTGTCTCCTACGTCTGTCTCCTACGTCTGTCTCCTACGTCTGTCTCCTACGTCTGTCTCCCACGTCTGTCTCCCACGTCTGTCTCCCACGTCTGTCTCCCACGTCTGTCTCCTACGTCTGTCTCCTACGTCTGTCTCCTACGTCTGTCTCCTACGTCTGTCTCCTACGTCTGTCTCCTACGTCGGTCTCCTACGTCGGTCTCCTACGTCTGTCTCCTACGTCTGTCTCCTACGTCTGTCTCCTACGTCTGTCTCCTACGTCTGTCTCCCACGTCTGTCTCCCACGTCTGTCTCCTACGTCTGTCTCCCACGTCTGTCTCCACGTCTGTCTCCCACGTCTGTCTCCCACGTCTGTCTCCCACGTCTGTCTCCTACGTCTGTCTCCTACGTCTGTCTCCTACGTCTGTCTCCTACGTCTGTCTCCTACGTCTGTCTCCTACGTCTGTCTCCTACGTCTGTCTCCTACGTCTGTCTCCTACGTCTGTCTCCTACGTCTGTCTCCTACGTCTGTCTCCTACGTCTGTCTCCTACGTCTGTCTCCTACGTCTGCCTCCTACGTCTGTCTCCTACGTCTGCCTCCTACGTCTGTCTCCTACGTCTGTCTCCTACGTCTGTCTCCTACGTCTGTCTCCTACGTCTGTCTCCTACGTCTGTCTCCTACGTCTGTCTCCTACGTCTGTCTCCTACGTCTGTCTCCTACGTCTGTCTCCTACGTCTGTCTCCTACGTCTGTCTCCTACGTCTGTCTCCTACCGCCTTAATGAGGTCACGGGTCGACACGTGTTTGGGCTGCGCTCAATGTCAACGAGGCTATCACTGAACCGGCTTTTTAATTATTCATTTAATTATTTTAGAGGTACACAAGTGTTACACAATCAACATCACACCACAACATTTACAGTCAAGGCAAAGTTTGGTTGTGTTGTTGTGGTTAGCCTGACAGTTTGAATGTGGTTAGCTAGCCTGACAGTTTGAATGTGGTTAGCTAGCCTGACAGTTTGAATGGGGTTAGCTAGCCTGACAGTTTGAATGTGGTTAGCTAGCCTGACAGTTTGAATGTGGTTAGCTAGCCTGACAGTTTGAATGTGGTTAGCTAGCCTGACAGTTTGAATGCGGTTAGCTAGCCTGACAGTTTGAATGGGGTTAGCTAGCCTGACAGTTTGAATGTGGTTAGCTAGCCTGACAGTTTGAATGGGGTTAGCTAGCCTGACAGTTTGGCTGTGGTTAGCTAGCCTGACAGTTTGAATGTGGTTAGCTAGCCTGACAGTTTGAATGGGGTTAGCTAGCCTGACAGTTTGAATGTGGTTAGCTAGCCTGACAGTTTGAATGTGGTTAGCTAGCCTGACAGTTTGAATGTGGTTAGCTAGCCTGACAGTTTGAATGTGGTTAGCTAGCCTGACAGTTTGAATGTGGTTAGCTAGCCTGACAGTTTGAATGGGGTTAGCTAGCCTGACAGTTTGAATGTGGTTAGCTAGCCTGACAGTTTGAATGTGGTTAGCTAGCCTGACAGTTTGAATGGGGTTAGCTAGCCTGACAGTTTGAATGGGGTTAGCTAGCCTGACAGTTTGAATGTGGTTAGCTAGCCTGACAGTTTGAATGTGGTTAGCTAGCCTGACAGTTTGAATGTGGTTAGCTAGCCTGACAGTTTGAATGGGGTTAGCTAGCCTGACAGTTTGAATGTGGTTAGCTAGCCTGACAGTTTGAATGGGGTTAGCTAGCCTGACAGTTTGAATGTGGTTAGCTAGCCTGACAGTTTGAATGTGGTTAGCTAGCCTGACAGTTTGAATGGGGTTAGCTAGCCTGACAGTTTGAATGTGGTTAGCTAGCCTGACAGTTTGAATGGGGTTAGCTAGCCTGACAGTTTGAATGTGGTTAGCTAGCCTGACAGTTTGAATGTGGTTAGCTAGCCTGACAGTTTGAATGTGGTTAGCTAGCCTGACAGTTTGAATGCGGTTAGCTAGCCTGACAGTTTGAATGTGGTTAGCTAGCCTGACAGTTTGAATGTGGTTAGCTAGCCTGACAGTTTGAATGTGGTTAGCTAGCCTGACAGTTTGAATGTGGTTAGCTAGCCTGACAGTTTGAATGGGGTTAGCTAGCCTGACAGTTTGAATGTGGTTAGCTAGCCTGACAGTTTGAATGGGGTTAGCTAGCCTGACAGTTTGAATGGGGTTAGCTAGCCTGACAGTTTGAATGTGGTTAGCTAGCCTGACAGTTTGAATGTGGTTAGCTAGCCTGACAGTTTGAATGTGGTTAGCTAGCCTGACAGTTTGAATGGGGTTAGCTAGCCTGACAGTTTGAATGTGGTTAGCTAGCCTGACAGTTTGAATGGGGTTAGCTAGCCTGACAGTTTGAATGTGGTTAGCTAGCCTGACAGTTTGAATGTGGTTAGCTAGCCTGACAGTTTGAATGGGGTTAGCTAGCCTGACAGTTTGAATGTGGTTAGCTAGCCTGACAGTTTGAATGTGGTTAGCTAGCCTGACAGTTTGAATGTGGTTAGCTAGCCTGACAGTTTGAATGTGGTTAGCTAGCCTGACAGTTTGAATGCGGTTAGCTAGCCTGACAGTTTGGCTGTGGTTAGCTAGCCTGACAGTTTGGATGTGGTTAGCTAGCCTGACAGTTTGGATGTGGTTAGCTAGCCTGACAGTTTGAATGCGGTTAGCTAGCCTGACAGTTTGAATGCGGTTAGCTAGCCTGACAGTTTGAATGTGGTTAGCTAGCCTGACAGTTTGAATGTGGTTAGCTAGCCTGACAGTTTGAATGTGGTTAGCTAGCCTGACAGTTTGGATGTGGTTAGCTAGCCTGACAGTTTGGATGTGGTTAGCTAGCCTGACAGTTTGAATGTGGTTAGCTAGCCTGACAGTTTGAATGTGGTTAGCTAGCCTGACAGTTTGAATGCGGTTAGCTAGCCTGACAGTTTGGCTGTGGTTAGCTAGCCTGACAGTTTGGATGTGGTTAGCTAGCCTGACAGTTTGGATGTGGTTAGCTAGCCTGACAGTTTGAATGCGGTTAGCTAGCCTGACAGTTTGAATGCGGTTAGCTAGCCTGACAGTTTGAATGTGGTTAGCTAGCCTGACAGTTTGAATGGGGTTAGCTAGCCTGACAGTTTGAATGTGGTTAGCTAGCCTGACAGTTTGAATGGGGTTAGCTAGCCTGACAGTTTGAATGTGGTTAGCTAGCCTGACAGTTTGAATGTGGTTAGCTAGCCTGACAGTTTGAATGGGGTTAGCTAGCCTGACAGTTTGAATGTGGTTAGCTAGCCTGACAGTTTGAATGGGGTTAGCTAGCCTGACAGTTTGAATGTGGTTAGCTAGCCTGACAGTTTGAATGTGGTTAGCTAGCCTGACAGTTTGAATGTGGTTAGCTAGCCTGACAGTTTGAATGTGGTTAGCTAGCCTGACAGTTTGGCTGTGGTTAGCTAGCCTGACAGTTTGGATGTGGTTAGCTAGCCTGACAGTTTGAATGTGGTTAGCTAGCCTGACAGTTTGAATGTGGTTAGCTAGCCTGACAGTTTGAATGTGGTTAGCTAGCCTGACAGTTTGGCTGTGGTTAGCTAGCCTGACAGTTTGGATGTGGTTAGCTAGCCTGACAGTTTGGATGTGGTTAGCTAGCCTGACAGTTTGAATGCGGTTAGCTAGCCTGACAGTTTGAATGCGGTTAGCTAGCCTGACAGTTTGAATGTGGTTAGCTAGCCTGACAGTTTGAATGTGGTTAGCTAGCCTGACAGTTTGAATGTGGTTAGCTAGCCTGACAGTTTGGCTGTGGTTAGCTAGCCTGACAGTTTGGATGTGGTTAGCTAGCCTGACAGTTTGAATGTGGTTAGCTAGCCTGACAGTTTGAATGTGGTTAGCTAGCCTGACAGTTTGAATGCGGTTAGCTAGCCTGACAGTTTGGCTGTGGTTAGCTAGCCTGACAGTTTGGATGTGGTTAGCTAGCCTGACAGTTTGGATGTGGTTAGCTAGCCTGACAGTTTGAATGCGGTTAGCTAGCCTGACAGTTTGAATGCGGTTAGCTAGCCTGACAGTTTGAATGTGGTTAGCTAGCCTGACAGTTTGAATGTGGTTAGCTAGCCTGACAGTTTGAATGTGGTTAGCTAGCCTGACAGTTTGGCTGTGGTTAGCTAGCCTGACAGTTTGAATGTGGTTAGCTAGCCTGACAGTTTGAATGTGGTTAGCTAGCCTGATAGTTTGAATGTGGTTAGCTAGCCTGACAGTTTGAATGCGGTTAGCTAGCCTGACAGTTTGAATGTGGTTAGCTAGCCTGACAGTTTGAATGTGGTTAGCTAGCCTGACAGTTTGAATGTGGTTAGCTAGCCTGACAGTTTGGCTGTGGTTAGCTAGCCTGACAGTTTGAATGTGGTTAGCTAGCCTGACAGTTTGAATGTGGTTAGCTAGCCTGATAGTTTGAATGTGGTTAGCTAGCCTGACAGTTTGAATGTGGTTAGCTAGCCTGACAGTTTGAATGTGGTTAGCTAGCCTGACAGTTTGAATGCGGTTAGCTAGCCTGACAGTTTGAATGTGGTTAGCTAGCCTGACAGTTTGGCTGTGGTTAGCTAGCCTGACAGTTTGAATGTGGTTAGCTAGCCTGACAGTTTGAATGCGGTTAGCTAGCCTGACAGTTTGAATGTGGTTAGCTAGCCTGACAGTTTGAATGCGGTTAGCTAGCCTGACAGTTTGAATGCGGTTAGCTAGCCTGACAGTTTGAATGTGGTTAGCTAGCCTGACAGTTTGAATGCGGTTAGCTAGCCTGACAGTTTGAATGCGGTTAGCTAGCCTGACAGTTTGAATGTGGTTAGCTAGCCTGACAGTTTGAATGCGGTTAGCTAGCCTGACAGTTTGAATGCGGTTAGCTAGCCTGACAGTAGTAGCTTCAATTGTGGAATTGTCAATAATGGGACGTTCAGACCGCCATCTCTTGAACGCAGCTTCCACGTGCACTGGACTTACATTCTAAATTTCAGACGCTTGAGTTTTGAAAACCTGAAGCTCCTGGCGTGCGGTGGCTCAGGGCGGAAGTGGCGGAGTCAGTGCTTTGATGCTAACAGAGTTGAGCTAGCGGTTTTTTGTGTAAAGTTCCGACTGCTAGTGTCCCTGTGATCACTTTGCGGCTCTCTGATTGGTTGCTGCTCGTGTGGTCGGCGTCCTGCAGTTCCACGCTCGAACGCACGTCACCGTTGACTTTGGTCGGAAGTCGCCGCAGCATGATCCGCTCTGAACGCCCCATTCGTTGTATTCCGTGAGCTAAAATCTTCCACATTCCCAGCAGTAACAAACCAGGCTGAAGAATTTAGTAAAAATGCATAATATTTATCCCTCTGCATTTGACCCTGATGCCACCCGGGCGTCTGTCAGGAGCAGTGGTTGCCGTAGTAACAGCGCCCGTTGACCCATCTCGAGATGTCAATGCTCTTTGTCAAGACCAGATCTATTTTTTGGTGGTCTGGGAAACCGGAGCACTCGGAGGAAACCTACGCAGACACTCAGAAAGGATTCAGACTGGGATGCAAACCCAGGACCTTCTCAATAACCACTCAGCCACCGAGCTGCTCAAGGGAAGGTGTATGGCATTGAAATAATAATACTCTCTATCACCCCCTATTGGTGTGTAACAGGAGTCTGGGCCTGTCTCTGCTACACACAAACCACACACTACACAGCCTACACAACACGCGGACTACACAACATACAAACTGCACAACACGCAGACTACACAACATACAAACTGCACAACACGCAAACTAAACATGCAAACTACACAACATACA